TCTTCTATGTATGGCTCAGACCCCACCATCTCACGATTGTATGTGTGTGGAGTGATATCTGTGTGAGTCAGTCTATGTGAGTCAGTCCGTTATCAGACTTCCGCTGCATACATGCTCATCCTATATTGGTTGATCTTTGGTTCTGCCCCATACTCGTTGATATTCTCACGAGTATGTAACAGTTTTGGTATCGGAGCAGACCATTTTTCGGATCTGCTCACCAGGTAAATCTGATTAGGAATTAGATTGCTTCTTCAATCTTCCAAATCAGCTATCGAGTTCAAAGTTGCCAATTTTTTTGCTTTTTCGGTATTCTGTCTATTTCGACATTTCCGTTTCAATTCGGTATTCGGACTCATAATTCGGATTTCTGTTTTACTCCAGTGTGCTGTTAATTTGAGTTCCGATAAATTGAAACTAATCCGACATCCTATTTAATTCGGATTTCTGATTCACTCTTCGTGATTAGATTGAAATCAGTACTCTGTTTAATTCGGCATTCTGATTTCCAATTCGGTTTCCGATTTTATAACTCAGCATTCTGATTTTAAGCCTGTATTCCGTTTTCTAAATCGGCATTTCCGTTTTATTGCAGTGTGGGAAATTAGGGTTACGAAAATTTTTGGTTTTCAATCAACTTGGGAAATTCGAACGTTTTGGATCCGTAAAACCGGAAATTCCGCGGAATTGCGGAAAATTAGGGTTGGACTCCGAAAATTTCGCGAATTTTTTTTTCCGAAAACGGACTTAGGCCTTGTTTGAGAAATTAGGGTTGGACTCCGAAGATTTTAAGCCTTGTTTGAGAAATTCCGAAAACGGACTTAGGCCTTGTAAAAATCGGATTTTGACGGTGGAAATTGCCGAAATTTCACATTTTTGAAAATTCCAGTGTTTTTCTTCTGATTTTTTTTCCGAAAATTTTTGGGCAAACTAATCCGTATCTGACCCTCTGAATTGCAACTTCCGGGTAGTTCACTAATTAACGGTGAACTCCCGGCTCAACGGATACCTAATCTTGATACAATTCAAATTCGTTCATTATCATTATTGCAAACATTGTTTTATTGATTATCATCATTATTGCAAATATTGTTTTATGTGAGAAATATTATTTCGTTATTAATCATTAATTAAACCTTATTGATTAAATAAATCGTTATTATTTTCTTATTACGAATTTTTTGGAATTGTTTACGGGAAATTTATTTTTTCTGTTTGATTAGGTGTCTGCAGTCCATCAGTGGGACAGGGACTATGTGAAGTGTGTTGATTGTTCTACCCCTGTTCCCACCCTCCCTACCCCCCCCCCCGTGATCTGTGACCACCAGGATGTCTGAGGTACCACATCAGCCAGAGCTGATGTCGGTGGAACAAGACACCGGGGCACTGCCACGACGCAGTGCCAGGCTTGCAGTTCATAACCGTTCTATGGTACCTCCACGAAGCAAGTATCAGCAACAGCGGCTCAGCAAGCGGACGACTCAGGCGGCATCGAGTACAGCATTGACAATACCGGTTCCCACCGGAGTTCTTCCCGCATGTCCGGTGCAAGGGGCCCTTGAACCGCTGGCTGATTACCTTGGGCGGCCACAGGTATTCACTGATGCCGTAGCTACCGCCAAGGCTCAGCAGGAGGCAGCACAGGCAGAACGTCAGCGGCTGGCCAATGAGGCGGCAGCCCAAGCTCAGCAGACTGCTGAGGCTGACGCAGCGGCACGAGACAGACGGAATGCCGCCAGCACGGAGTCCCTGATTCAACATGAGAATCAGTGGACAACACTACTCGAAGGCATGTTCTTTGTGCCTACGGAAGCGCATACGGCTCTGACACAGGCGGAGGGAGAGAGAAGTAACCTGGCTACCCTGATGTTGAGCGTGATGAGGGGAGTAATGTGGAACAACAAACTGCTGCAGGCACACCCGGTCGCAGAACGACAGCAACGACAAAAGCACCAGCAAGAGGTGGCTGCTTTGACGGTCGCCGTCCGCGACGCAGCAACGCAGCAGCAGCAACAGCAACAGCTGTTGAACTCTACTCTCGCACGCATCAACGGCATCGAGGCTAAGACCTCAGCAGCGCCAGGCTGCACGACGGACGCGACGAAGCAGCTCAACGAGCGCATCGATCACGTCGTTACTATCATTGGCCAACTAGGTGATTTCACTAGTCCGGCCTCGATCAGCAGCACGGTGGCCGCCATCAAGACGAGTATCACCAACCTGCAGACAAGACCGGACGCCGCTACAAAGAATTACAAGATGTCGCACTTCGACATCAGCAAGTTCAACGACTACAACAAGTCGGACGCCTTGACATGGTGGCAATGTTTCCTAACGGAAGCATCTTGCCGCACTGTCCCGGCTGACGACATGATGAAGGCGCTCTACTTACAACTGATTGGAGGAGCGCAGGCCTGGATGAACCATCTGGCGGCTACCAAGAAATGCACCATCGCCGAACTCCACACGCACATCCCGTGGAAGGAGTTCGAGAAGCTATGGTTCACTCGGTTCATGGTCCGCAATGTCGTGAAGGCGGCCATGAACGAGGTGTACACCTGCTCTCAAGGGAATATGCCAACTCGAGACTGGACAACAAAGTGGCAAAAGATAGTGACCACGCCAGGCTTCGATTTGAGTTTTACGAATCAACGATCCGAGTTCTTCTCGCGATCATGCGCAGGACTGCGAACCGCACTCAGCAACGAGTACGATTACGCCACATTCCAGGCTATCCTAGATCGTGCGAACTTATGACAAGGCCGCAAACGAACGGCAGTCCCAGCCGCATTATGTGGCTAAGCCAGGCTATCAACGACCGACACATAATAATGTCGTGATTTCTGACGAAACAGTCGATCTCCACGCTGCAGCAGCATCCTCGAGTGATGGAGGAATTGTAGCAACGCTCCCGCCGAAGCGTCCCAAGAGAGTTCGGAAGAACAAGGCGACACAAGAGACGGCATCGACGGGAACTGGGCAGCACCCATGGACGGCATACAAGATCACCAAGGAAATCTATAACCTTCGTCAACGGTACGGATATTGCCTTTGGTGCAATAGAGTCACTCATTTGACCGCACAGTGCCCCGAAAAGGGCAAGGCACCCGTACCCCGTCCAGCTAACTCGGGAAACTGAGTTACGCAAGGAGAGGGGCGACGTCTCTCCTCACTCCGCCGGACCCGGTTGCCTTGCTAGCAATCGATGTCACCACCGGGGAGCATGCGTTAGTCGCTGATTCTCGTGCTACATACGAGGATTATGCCGCCCAGCTGGTACCACCACTAGACCAGCCAAGCCACGTGCACTGAGATTGCGTATGCGCAGCCTGTACACCGTCGGCAAGTGATCCGGTCAGCTCGCCACTGACTTCTGAGGACTCGACGGCGTGGTCAAGACTTGAGGAGTTTGACCCGCTCACGAGAGAGGACTTCGCTTGGATGCCTCTACCCCTTGCCAAGGCCGCATTGTAATGCCTTGATGGCAAATCTACGCTCCTATTTGCACACTACAGTACCAGCTCCGTTGACAGACGACGGGGTAGCGGTTGTCGATCTCCGCTCCTATCTTGCGAAGATTGACCGCGAGTACGCCACCCAAAGGTACGCCGAAACCGACGCTCCTTCGCTCTATATCCGCATTCAAATCGGAAACGCAACATGTAGTGCCTTGATTGATTGCGGAGCGTCTCGCAACTTTATGAACCAAGCCTTTATGGCCCGCGCAGGTCTTGGCCCGCGCGTTCGAAGGAAGACGCAACCCACGCAAGTTACACTCGCGGACGGCCGCACGCAAAAGTCACTTGACCGATGCGTCGACAGCGTTCCGGTATACTTTGCGCCACTTGCGTGTGAGCCGGTGTCTTTTGACATCCTCGACACCAAGTTCGACATGGTTCTAGGCATGTCTTGGTTGCGTAGCGCCGATCATCCGGTGAACTTCCATGACCGAACCGTTCACATCTGTGATCGGAACGGATTGTTAGGCCCATGTACGGTCGCGACCCCTCACACTTTGATTGCTTGCCACGTGGTTTCCGTTGCGAGAATTCACGACGCCATAGCTCGGAATGACGTCGAGGAGATGGGCCTGGTATTCTTGCATGCTCTCCCCTCGCCGGACGGACCAGCCGCGTCACCGCCGGACCCACGCATCACTCACCTCTTGGACGAGTATGGAGACGTCTTCGAGGATCCCACCGGAACGGTTCCGGATCGGCCCATACGTCACGGGATCACTCTCGAGGCTGGTGTCGTCCCTCCGCGTGGATGTATCTACCGCATGAGCGAAGAGGAACTCGAGGTACTTCGCGCACAACTCGATGACCTTCTCGACAAGGGCTGGATTCGCCCTAGTTGCTCGCCATACGGTGCCCCTGTTCTCTTCGTCCGGAAGAAGAACAAAGATCTCAGTTACGCATCGACTATCGCAAACTTAACGCACAAACCGTAAAGAACGCCAGCCCTCTCCCTCGGATTGATGATCTCCTTGAGCGGTTAGGCGGCGCAACGTACTTCTCGAAGTTGGACTTGAAGTCGGGTTACCACCAGATTAAAATTCGGCCTCAAGATCGGTACAAAACCGCGTTCAAGACGCGGTATGGGCATTTTGAGTGGGTTGTCACGCCATTTGGCCTCACCAATGCCCCCGCGACTTTTCAAGCAGCTATGACGACTGAGTTTCGCAACTTGCTCGATCGCAGAGTCCTCATCTACCTCGATGACATCTTGGTCTATAGCAGGACGTTGGACAAGCACATCATCACCTTCGCGCTGTTTTGAATCGTTTGCGACTGGCCAAGTACAAAGCAAACCGCGACAAGTGCGAGTTCGCCAAGCAGGAGCTTGAGTATTTGGGCCATTATGTTACGCCGAAAGGCATTCGTCCCTTAGCGGACAAGATCCAAGCCATCGTGGATTGGCCGGAACCCCGTTGCACGACGGATGTACGCTCTTTCATGAGTTTGGCTGGATATTATCGGCGATTCGTTGAGTCATACTCGAATGTGGCCGCTCCTTTGTCGAGACTTCAGTCCCCGAAGGTGCCCTTCGAGTTCGACAACGCAGCCCGTGGCTTGTTCACTACGTTGAAGGCAGCGATGCAAGCCGCACCTGCCCTCCGTATATACGACCCCACCCTTCCCACCCAAGTGACTACGGACGCTTCGGGATACAGTATTGGTGTGGTGTTGGAACAGTGTCACGAGGACGGTTGGCATTCGGTCGAGTATTTCTCCCAAAAGGTGCCTCTCGTCAACACTCTCGACGACGCTAGGAAGAAAGAGCTACTCGCGTTCGTCAATGTTTTCAAATGGTGGCGCCAATTTCTTCTCGGCTGTCGGCGTTTTAAATGGAATACGGACAACAATCCGTTGACCTTTTACAAAACGCAGGATACGGTCACTAGCACGATCGGTCGATGGATGTATTACATCGACCAGTTCGACTTTGACCCGTGCCACATTCCCGGTCCCGCCAATCGAGCTGCAGACGCCCTCTCACGACGGCCCGATTTTTGTGCCATTGTGACCACGGCATTCGACCTCGATAACGATCTGCAGCCGCATTTCATCAAAGGCTACAAGTCTGATCCGACTTACTCTACGCTTTACGCGGAGCTTTCATCGGATCACCCGCCGGCTAGCCACTATCCGATTTCTGACGGGTTCCTTCTCCTTCACACGAGAGGAAAGGACTTGTTAGTTGTGCCCCAAGATCGCATCTTACGGACTCGACTTCTCGGCGAATTTCACGACGCACGACTTTCGGCACACTTTGGCGTGAATCGCAAATTAGCTCGCCTCCGCCAGCGTTTTCACTGGCCCAACGTCCTTCATGACGTCACGAGGTACATTGAGTCATGTGTAGTTTGCCACCGTAACAAGGGTCGATCTCGAGTCCCCTTCGGCGAATTGAAACCGTTGCCGATTCCTCGGGCACCGCGCCTCTCCATTGTTATGGACGTGACAGGCCCGTTCCCCCTCGATCGCCTCGGCCATGACGGTATTCTCACGGTTGTTGACCATTTGAGCAAGTATGCTCGCTTCTTTCCTTGCAAGTATCATGCTGCAGCGCCTGAGCTCGCACGACTCTTGCACACCAGTTGGATTACCAACCAGGGTGTTCCGGAAGACATAGTGAGCGACCGAGATACTCGCTTCATGTCGGCCTTTTGGACTTCCCTCATGGCTGAGTCTGGTATGACAATGAAGCCGAGCTCGGATCGGCACCCGCAGACGGATGGCCAGACGGAGCGAGCGCACCAAACCACTCAGATGATGTTGCGTATGCTCATCCGTCCCGACCAGAAAGATTGGGTTGACCGGCTTCCCGACATTGAGTTCGCCTACAACACTTCGGTGCACCCGGCGATCTGCGTCACACCATTCGAGCTACATCATGGTGGAGAGAACGCACGGATCTTCGCTGATCTCCTTTTGCCACAGGCTGCCGACATAGATATCCCTTGCTCTCCCGCTTCCGTTCGGAAGTACCGGGACTTGCTGATCAAAGCCCGCGCAAATATGCAAAAGGCCCAAATCCGCATGCAATAGCAAGCTAACCGACGTCCACTTCCATGTCCTTTCCGCGAGGGAGACCTTGTTTGGGTCCTCTCCGAGGAATTTGCGCTCGAGCAGGACATTTCGCGCAAACTCCTTCCGAAATGGTCCGGACCACGGGAAGTCACATTTGCCGTTAGAGACGACCCCGCAGGTCCTTCCTTCGTGATCAACATTCCTACGCACCTTACAGTGCACCGAGTCTTCCACGCGTCGAAGCTGGCCGTCTACACGCCACCTTCTACCGACGAGTTCACCGGCCGTCGATCACAGGATCCGCCTTCTATGGACGGACATCAGGAAGTGGACCGAGTCATCACGCATGGCAACAAGCCAATGCAGTTCAAAGTCACATTCAAGCAATGTGCGCCTGACAACACTCAGTGGTTCTCTAGTGCAGACTTGCAGACTTCTGCACCCCTTATCTTCGCCGACTATGAGAAGCGGCGCCTTGCCAAGGAAGCAGCTCGTCCCTCCCGACCCATCCCGGTATCGGACAGACAACTTCGCCCTCGCAGGTAGCTCCGTCTTTTAAGAGGGGGAGTGTGTTACATCTTCGACGCCACACGGGTCATACCGGACCCGACTTAGGGCCAGAGGGACACAGTAGGGCCTAAAGGCCCGACCTTGGGGGTACTACAGGCCGTAAAGGCCTCATCTTGGACCAGA